CAGTTAATGCTAGAAGTGATGGATTTGTGATCACTTGCACCAAGCTCTTCAGTGATCTTCAAACTATTTACAAGTGCTTCCTTATTTGACATGACTAGTTTGAGCAAATTATTACCCTTGGTAGGCTCTGTTACACAATGCTTCAGAAAACAGTCCTGAACTGCTCCTACAAAGTCACTGGACTCCAGATTACCAGTCAAAGAAGTCCAGTCAATTTGACTTAAGTTAAAATCTCCTACTATCATTACATTATTGTGTCTAGAAGCCCTAACAATTTCATCCGAAAGAAGTCTCCCTCTATCATGATCCAGGCCTGGAGGTCAGTATATTACACCTAGAATTAGGTTTTCTTGACCTACAAATTTTACCCAAAAAGATTGTTACTAATCCATCTATTTTTATACCTGTTTTTATGCAACAATTTATATTTTCTTGTACATATAATGCAACTCCCCCCCTTCCCATTATATCTATCCACGTGGAACAATTTAAACCCTTGAATATTACACTCAGCAATCATATCCTGACTCTTTAACCCTTTCAGGGTCAACAGGCCTTCTCCTAAACTTGTTCTCAGGGTCGAAAATTTTTCGAAAAAAAAAAAAAAAACTTGTAAAATGACAGAGAATCTTTTTTCTGATCATAATGACACCAAAAGTATGAAATTTGATGGAAAACTTACAGAATTATGCTCTCGCACAGTTAGCGGTCTCACCAATGTTTACACATCGGCGATTCCGCCCACTTTGAGCCCTATTTTTGGCCAATTCCAATGTACCAGTCGACAAAAATCATAACTATTTCGCTAGAGCTCCATTTTTTTCTATCAAATGAGTACAAGAAACCACTCATTTACCGATTTCAACTATCCAATAAAGTGGTCAGAAATTGGCAATTTTGCCAATTTCACACAAATTTCAAAAGATGCCAATTTTCAAATAGGGTCCAAAATAAGCAAGACAGACATTCCTGGCACTAAAATAACATTTTCTCTGTTCATTAGTCACGTCCCCAGGCCTCTCTTAATTTCTTTTGCTTTCCACTTTGAATTTTTATTCTCACAAAAAATAGAAGATCTACTGTTATGCAGACTACTGCATTAGTGTAGAAATGGTATAAATGATATCAGCGCACTTGTGAAAGAATATTAGACTCACCAGTTGACGTGTATTGGACGCATGGAATGATTTGTTTACTTTTGAACTTTGGCAAAAATCGAACATTTCTGCTACTTTGAGCTCAGTTTCAAGGTACTTTTCATTGTGAAACCAATCAAAATCATCTCAATTTCTGTAATATGTCTTCCATTCTATAAAATGAGACCAGGAAAACTAGAATACAACCATAAGTAGCATACAAAAATACACTGCAAAGTCGCTGTTTTAAAGCAAAAAGTCGTTTTTTTTTTTCAAATTATGCACTGTGCGCTGCAGGATTTTTTTATACTCTGCACACTGACTACATAGACCCATTCTTTCATATGTAGGCCTACCAGCTTTGTCTCGCTATATTCGAAGGTGCTATAATTTATGTGTACTAGTATGGCACCAACCCTGAAAGGGTTAAATCAAACCATGTTTCAGTTATTGCAATGACATTAAAGTTCCCAACACACGCTACCAAATGTAATTCATTAATCTAATTTCTTGCACTTCAACTGTTAGCATAAAATACAGCATATGTTTTTTCTTCTGCACCTTTTTCCTATTCACCTTTGCTTTTGCACAATTTCTGTAATTATCATTACCCAGTGTTACTCCAAGACTGTTATTATTAAGATTCATAATATCAAAGCCTAAGTCAGTATATCCATACTCATTATTTTCCATTTTTAAACCCATACTCTAACTAATCCTAGTTTTAAGTCCTAACAACACCCTCAACTGAGCTAGCAAGAAAACCCACACCTGCCCTGGATAAGTGAACCCCATCTCTGGCATACATGTCATTTCTACTGTAGAAGTGGTCCCAGTTGTCAATAAATGGTGTTAATACCAACTGCTCTGGACAACCATTCATTTCCAACACCCCTTCTTGGTAAAATGCCACATATGACTGGTGCCTCCCCCTTCTTCCTAATTATGTCTGTTGCTGTCCTGTACCTTCTAACTAAATCCTCACTTATATGCTTGCCTACATCATTGCCTCCAGCACTGAGGCAGATAATAGGATTGATCCCATTACTGTTCATGATGTCAAGCTGGCTAACAATATCCTCCATCCCAGCCCCAGGAAAGCAAATCCTCTGTCTCCTACTTCTACCCTGCAAGCAGAAGGCCCTATCCATATACCTAACCTGGCTGCCCCCAACAACGTTTTTACTTTCCTTGGTGTCGTTTGTCATGATGTTCCCAGTAGTCGATGCATATTCATCGGGTAGCATGGAGAATGCGTTCGATGTTTCCAAAACAGTTTCCACAGCAATCTCTTTCTTCTTCATTGTTTCTACCTCTCTATTTGTCTTTGTTCCATGCTGTCTGGCCATTGCCCAGGCTCTATTCTTGACCTGAGGACTCACAACAGGAGGACTACTATGAATCCTCTTGTTTTCCTCCATCAATTGCTGTATCTCTTGCTTCGCTACCTTCAATTCCTCCTTAAGCTGCTGGTAAAGTTGATTAATGGAGGGCATCTTGATAGTTATGGACACTGAAGCTTTAGGTATAGGTATACCTGGAGTTTACCTGGAGAGAGTTCTGGGGGTCAACGCCCCCGCGGCCCGGTCTGTGACTGGGCCTCCTGGTGGATTAGAGCCTGATGAACCAGGCTGTTACTGCTGGCTGCACGCAATCCAATGTACGAGCCACAGCCCGGCTGGTCAGGTATCGACTTTAGGTGCTTGTCCTGTGCCAGCTTGAAGACTGCCAGGGGTTTATTGGTAATCCCCCTTATGTATGCTGGGAGGCAGTTGATCAGTCTTGGGCCCCTGACACTTACTGTATTGTCTCTTAACGTGCTAGTGGCACCCCTGCTTTTCATTGGGGGGATGTTGCATCGTCTGCCAAGTCTTTTGCTTTCGTTGTGAGTGATTTTCGTGTGCAAGTTCGGTACTAGTCCCTCTAGGATTTTCCAGGTGTATATAATCATGTATCTCTCCCGCCTGCGTTCCAGGGAATACAGGTTCAGGAACTTTAAGCGCTCCCAGTGATTGAGGTGTTTTATCTCCGTTATGTGCGCTGTGAAGGTTCTCTGTACATTTTCTAGGTCAGCAATTTCACCTGCCTTGAAAGGTGCTGTTAGTGTGCAGCAATATTCCAGCCTAGATAGAACAAGTGACCTGAAGAGTGTCATCATGGGCTTGGCATCCCTAGTTTTGAAGGTTCTCATTATCCATCCTGTCATTTTTCTAGCAGCTGCAATTGATATAATGTTATGGTCCTTGAAGGTGAGATCCTCTGACATGATCACTCCCAGGTCTCTGACATTTGTTTTTCACTCTATTTTGTGGCCGGAATTTGTTTTGTACTCTGATGAAGTTTTGATTTCCTCGTGTCTACCATATCGGAGTAATTGAAATTTCTCATCGTTGAACTTCATATTGTTTTCTGCAGCCCATTGAAAGATTTGGTTGATGTCCGCCTGGAGCCTTGCAGTGTCTGCAATGGAAGACACTGTCATGCAGATTCGGGTGTCATCTGCAAAGGAAGACACGGTGCTGTGGCTGACATCCTTGTCTATGTCAGATATGAGGATGAGAAACAAGATAGGAATTATTATTCTTTTTCTTTCAACAAACTAGCTGTATCCCACTGAGGCAGGGTGGCCCAAAAAGTAAAACAAGTTTCTCTCTTTAACTTTAGTAATGTATACAGGAGAAGGGGTTACTAGCCCCTTGCTCAAATAGGAATTATATTTTATATTATATTTTATATTATATTGGCAGTTTGGAGGGGTATGTTATGTATCTTTATATATGCTTCTAAACTGTTGTATCTGGGCACCTCTGCAAAGACAGTGATTATGTGTGAGTGAGGTGAAAGTGTTGAATGATGATGAAAGTATTTTCTTTTTAGGGATTTTCTTTTTGGGTCACCCTGCCCCGGTGGGAGATGGTCTACTTGTTGAAAAAAAAATTAAAGTGAAAGATTTTTTTATGCTTAGTGAAAAATACAACTTTTTTTTAAAATAACAGAACAGTATTTTTCTATGGAGGCAAAGAAGGAAATGTATGAAAGTATAGTGGTACCAACACTCTTATATGGGTGTGAAGCTTGGGTTGTAAATGCTGCAGCGAGGAGGTGGTTGGAGGCAGTGTAGATGTCCTGTCTAAGGGCAGTGTGTTGTGCAAATGTTATGCAGAAAATTCGGAGTGTGGAAATTAGGAGAAGGTGTGGAGCTAATAAAAGTATTAGTCAGAGGGCTGAAGAGGGGTTGTTGAGGTGGTTTGGTCATTTAGAGAGAATGGATCAAAGTAGAATGACATGGAGAGCGTATAATTCTGTAGGGGAAGGAAGGTGGGGTAGGGGTCGTCCTTGAAAGGGTTGGAGGGAGGGGGTAAAGGAGGTTTTGTGGGTGAGGGGCTTGGACTTCCAGCAAGCGTGCATGAGTGTGTTAGGAGCGAATGGAGACGAATGGTATTTGGGACCTGATGAGCTGTTGGAGTGTGAGCAGGGTAATATTTAGTGAAGGGATTCAGGGAAACCGGTTATTTTATATAGCCGGACTTAAGTCCTGGAAATGGGAAGTACAGTGCCTGCACTTTAAAGGAGGGGTTTGGGATATTGGCAGTTTGGAGGGTTACTTCTAAACTGTTGTATTCTGAGCACCTTTGCAAAAACAGTGATTATATGTGAGTGAGGTGAAAGTGTTGAATGATGATGAAAGTATTTTCTTTTTGGGGATTTTCTTTCTTTTTGGGTCACCCTGCCTTGGTGGGAGACGGCCGACTTGTTAAAAAAAAAAAAAAAAAAATCCTCGAGTTACTATTGACATACATGTCTGCAAATGCATGGGCTTTTATAAAATAGTGTATGATATAATTTATTTTATCTCCCAAACAGGTAATGTTATAATGTCACGCTCCTCTGATGACTTTGATAATGCACACGAATCGGGTCGAGGACATCTGTTTCAAAAACAGAAGAAGCCAGGATCAAAACAGATGTTTACTGAAGTAAGTTATTTTGTCATCTTTGTGTTTACTTGTATACAGTGGTTGTTTAGACATCCAAATTAAATGAAGCAGAGTGCACAGTGTACTGTACTTGACACCTCTAGGACTTAAGTCCATCTACCTAGTTTTCTTGAATCCTAACATAAATATCACCTTTCTCGCATTCCAACTGCATGTTAGGCCATAAAAACCATTCGTCTCCATTCACTTCATATACCATACTCACACAAACCTGCTGGATGCTCAAGCCCCCTAGCATTCAAAACCTCTATTACCCCCTCTCTCTCACCTTCCTTGGATAATCCCTATCCCCCCCTTCCTCACTAGAATTATAAAAATTCTTGGTCATTCTAGTCTGCTCCATCCTTCTTTTAAAAGCTGAAGTCACCTCAACATTTCTTTCTCAGCCTTCTGAATTATACATTTGATAACCCTACACTGTCTTCTAATTTCTACACTTCAAATTCTCTACATAATATTTATTCTACACATTGCTATCAAACATGACACTTCTACTTCTCCAACCTCCTCTGTGCTGCAGAATGCTTAGTGCCATTATAAAAAATGTTGGTATCACTGTTCTGGTACAGTGGACCCCTGGTTATTGTAATTCGTTCCAGAGAGTGTGACTAAAACCAAATTTGACGATATCCGAATTCATTTTCCCCATAAGAAATAATGTAAATCCAATTAATCCGTTCCAGACACCCAAAAGTATTAAAAAAAAATATACAGTGACCTACATAGAAAACAATGAGACATGAAGAATAAACAGTATTAACATGACACTTATCTTTATTGAAGACTTATTGATGTATGGGATGGGAGGAGGGGAGAGGATGGAGGAATTACTATTGTTTGGAAGGGAAATCCCCTACCATGAAGACTTCAGGTACCAAGTCCTTTTCTGCAGTTACTTCCTTTTGTGTTTTAATGCCACTAGGACCAGCTTGAGTCACTGGACCCCTGTCGCTCAAAAAATTGTTCCAGAGAGCTCTGTTTCTGGCGTTTCTTGAACCCTTTCAGGGTTTTGGCCGTACTAGTATGGCTTACACACCAGGGTTTTTGACGTACTAGTATGCCTAAATTCTAGCGCCCTCAAATCTAGTGAGAGAAAGCTGGTAGGCCTACATATGAAAGAATGGGTCTATGTGGTCAGTGTGCACAGTATAAAAAAAAATCCTGCAGCACACAGTGCGTAATGAGAAAAAAAAACTAACCGTGTTTTTGGGTTAAAACAGTGACTTTGCACTGTATTTTCGTATGGTATTTATTATTGTATTCTAGTTTTCCTGGTCTCATTTTATAGAATGGAAGACATATTACAGAAATTGAGATGATTTTGACTGGTTTTACAATTAAAAGTGCCTTGAAATTGAGCTCAAAGTAGCAGAAATGTTCGATTTTTGCCAAAGTTCAAAAGTAAACAAATCATGCTAAGCGTCCAATACACGTCAACTGGTGAGTCTGATATTCTTTCACAAGTGCGCCGATATTATTTATACCATTTCTACACTAATGCAGTAGTCTGCATAACAGTAAATCTTCTATTTTTTGTGAGAATAAAAATTCAAAGTGGAAAGCAAAAGAATGTAAGAGGGGCCTGGGGACATGACTAATGAAAAGAAGAAATGTTATTTTAGTGCCAGGAATGTCTTTCTTGTTTAATCTAGACCCTATTTGGAAATTGGCATCTTTTGAACTTTGTGTGAAATTGGCAAAATTGCTTAATTCTGACCACTGTATTGGATAGTTGTAATCGGTAAATGGGTGGTTTCTTGTACTCATTCGATATAAAAAATGGAGATCTAGTGAAATAGTTATGACTTTTGTCGACTAGTACACTGGAATTGGCCGAAAATAGGGCTCAATGTGGGCAAAATTGCCTATGCGTAAACATTGTCGAGACCGCTAACTTCGCGAGAGCATAATTCCGTAAGTTTTCCATCAAATTTCATACTTTTGGTGTCATTATGATTGGGAAAAGATTCTCTATCTTTTCATAAGAAAAAATAATTTTTTTTTTTAAATTTGGGTGACCCCGAGAAGAAGTCTGGGAGAGGGCCTGGGGACCCTGAAAGGGTTAAAAATTACCTAAAATGGGACACGACATTGTCATTGTACATTTTGCCAACACGGCCTGCAACAGCTTTCTCAGGGTGATGTTCTTTCTTTCAACACACCGGCCGTATCCCACCGAGGCGGGGTGGCCCAAAAGGAAAAATGAAAGTTTCTCCTTTTACATTTAGTAATATATACAGGAGAAGAGGTTACTAGCCCCTTGCTCCCTGTCAGGGTGATGTTCCTCCATAAATATTTGCACCTCACTCCACTTTGAGCAAATGCCCTTAATCTTTGAAGAAGGCACCGTCTTCCATCTCTTTGAACACATTGGGATTTTCAGAGTGATACACCAGTAAAGGCTTCACTTTGAAATCCCCACTAGTATTACTACAGAGCATGAGAGTTAGCCTGTCTTTCATAGGCTTGTGTCCTAGGAGTGCCTTTTCTCCTGTATGATGTAGGTCCTCTGTGACATTTTCTTCCAAAAGAGGCCTGTTTCATCACAATTGAACACTTGTTGGGGTTTGAATTGTTCAGCCTCTGTGTACCCCTTGAATTCCTGAACATATTTTTCAGCTGCATGTATGTCAGAATTTGCAGCCTCGCCATGCCTTACCACACTGTGTATGCCACTAGGCTTCTTAAATCTCTCACACCAGCCTTTGCTGGCCTTAAATTCACTAACATCAGCACTAGTTCCAGGCATTTTCTTTATGAGATCATCATGCAACTGCCTTGCCTTTTCACAGATTATCGACTGCATAACACTATCTCCTGCTAACTGTTTTTTGGTAGGTAGATAAGACACATAGGCAACGTTTAGGCAACTTTATTCTGAAGCGTTTCGCCTACACAGTAGGCTTCTTCAGTCGTGTACAGAAAGTAGGCAGGAGCAGTAGAGATGTGAAGATGATGTAATCAGTCCATCACCCTTGAAGTCGTAGATTTGAGGTTGTCAGTCCCTCAGCCTGGGGAAGTTCTGTTCCAAAGTCTGGAACTAACTGAAAATCAAGCGACAGTGTTGAGACTTAAATACTGTCGGAAGGAGAGGTGCAGAGTAGTAGTAGTGAGAATGTACCCACTGGGAGGTCATGTCCCTCTCAGATCAAACAATTCTCACTTGAAAAAGGTTGTCCAAGGTGTTTTCTCTTCTGTACCAAGATGCCATTGTGTTGCAGTGTATGACGGAGTGATTATCAAATGGTATACAATACCGACAGGTTGGTAGATAAGACACATAGGCAACATTTAGGCAACTTTATTCCGAAACGTTTCACCTATACAGTAGGCTGCTTCTACCATTTGATAATCATCTAACTGTTTTTTGTTGATCCACACCAACAACAAAGTCTCCACATATTCGAGTATTTGCGATCTCTGTTTTGTAAGCATATTTGCACCTTTCGCAACAACAGCTTCCTTGATTTCCTTTTTCTTGGCCATGATGGAAGTGATGGTTGTATGGGGTTTCTTATACAATCTGGCAGGCTCTGCCACACGTACTCCACTTTCATATTTTGCAGTGATGTCTTTCTTGATTTCTATAGTGTTTCTCACTTTCTTTACCAAAGAGCTGGCACTAGAAACTTTTTTTTGGGCCCATGGTGGCTTATTTAGCAGTTGCAAGCACAAAAAAGAATGGAATATTACAAAATGTATCATATGAATGCATGGGGTGAGGGTCACTCACTGATAAACAATAGCAGACTGACTGTGAATGGTGTGGGATGGTGTGTGGGGTCACTCGGGGCCACTTGTACGTGCTTGGGACGAATAACTGTTACCAAGGTAAATGACGATCACCGAGCCAATATTTTAATGAAAAAATGTTATGATTACCGAATATTATGAAATCCGACGACTACAATATCCAGGGGTCCACTGTACATTCTCCTTTTTTGCCACCATAGATAACTTCTTTACATATTTAACAGCTCCTCAAAATGTTCCCTCCATCTTCCCTACACCTCCACCTCTCCATTGAACATTTTTCCCTAAATTTATAACTGCCAGATCCGTTTGATTACAAGGCTTTCTAAACTTATTAGTCACCCTCCAAACAAACAGGCCATATCCCACCAAGGCAGGGTTGCCCAAAAGGAGAAAGAAAAGTTTCTCATTTTGGGCTTTGTAATATATGGATACAGGAGAAAGGGTTATTAGCGCCTTGCTCCTGGCATTTTAGTTGCCACTTATGACATGGCTTACAGAGGAAGAATTCTTTTCCACTTCCTCATGGAGATAAGCAATAAACCAGAACAAGAACTAGTAAGAAAATAGAAGAAAACCCAGATTTTTTTTTTTTTTTTTTTTTTAAACAAGTCGGCCATCTCCCACCGAGGCAGGATGATCCAAAAAGAAAGAAAATCCCCAAAAAGAAAATACTTTCATCATCACTCAACACTTTCACTTCACTCACACATAATCATTGTTTTTGCAGAGGTGCCCAGAATACAACAGTTTAGAAGCATATACATATAAAGATACTCAACATACCCCTTCAAACTACCAATATCCCGAACCCCTCCTTTAGAGTGCAGGCATTGTACTTTCCATTTCCAGGACTCAAGTCCAGCTATATAAAAATAACCGGTTTCCCTGAATCCCTTCATTAAATATTACCCTGCTCACACTCCAACAGCTCGTCAGGTCCCAAATACCATTCGTCTCCATTCACTCCTATCGAACACGCTCATGCACGCCTGCTGGAAGTCCAAGCCCCTCGCCCACAAAACCTCTACTTACGAGTGCATCCACGTGTGAGTTTTTCCAGATACAAGCAGCTGCTCGGTCAATTTTTTACTTCGACTCAAGGAAAATTTCCAGATGCAAGCGGTCCTCAAGGGAGGTTAATTGACACTGGTGAGGGGGGGTCTTACTCTTGATCTAGGGAATTGGATCTCAGTTGTTTGTTGGACTATCTTATTGAAACTTGG